GCAACCTGTTCTATTGCCATACCATGTAATCAATAAATCCCAGATGTACTATAATAATTTTCTGCTAAACTTTTCTATATCTGTCCTTGTATATTTTATTGTCACATTTCCCGTCCACTTAAAAATATAATCCTGATATGTGAACAACAGTTCTGAATACGGTCCCGAAATTCATCATTGCCATCGTTACAAATTAACACAAAGATGTCGCTTTTGTGATCAGCTGTTCACCTCAAAACGTGATGGATACTCGTGAAATAAGGTTTAGTCAAAACTTTTGAACGCATGACCAGGCTGGCTATAATTCAATCTCGAAAGCAAAAAGCTGATACCGATCATGTGCTGATCTCACAGTACGGTTTTAGAAGTGATTGTGGAACTTTGGATGCCGTGACCCAGTTAGTTTTAGACGTGTAATTTTGTTTCTCTACTGGTTCCTGGATTTCAAGGGTGCATATGATTCTGTAGACTTAGGAATTCTTATGGAAAAATGTATACAAAAGGCATATCTAGGAATTCTACAGCCAGTATAATAGAGCTATTCAAGGACAGAACTATTTATATAACATATCACAGAAATGAATTACTTGGACCTATGATGGTTTACAACGGTTTACCGCAAGGTTCAATACTTAGTCCTATATTATTAAATTTGTACACAGCTGACTTCCATGGCAGGCTCGACAAGGAGGTGCAAGTTATCCAATACGCGGATTTTATAATATGTACATATGTAGAACACCATTCATATAATTATTGTCATCAATTCATATAAAAAGCGATTGATAAGGTAAAGAATTGGTTGCTAGAGATGAACCTCCAGTTGTCCATTGATAAGTCCGCGATAATGTGTTTTACCAGGCACAGGATCGTGCTTCCTAGTCAGCTCAAAGTTGGTGACGTTGTCATTCCCGTAGTGCAGAATTACAAATACTTAGGTATAGTACTGCATTCCAAACTCTTATGGAGCAAGCATATTCAGTTCGTTAGATCCAACTCCGAGAGAGGGATCAACATATTTAAGTGCACCACGAAGAAAAAATGGGGTTCAGAACAGAAAATAGCACTAAGTTTTTACCAATCATATGTACGTTCTTTGTTGGACTATAGATGTGTGCTATACGGTTCAGCAACTAAGTCCCATTTACAAAAACTTGATCGAGTACAGCTGCATGCCTTGAGAATTTGCATGTGAGTCATGAGATCGTCACCGTGTCCAGTTGTTTTAGCTGAAGCAAAGGAACCTCCGCTTACTCTGAAACGGCGGTACTTTGCACAGAGAACAGTTGTAAAGTACAGGTCATGTAATAAATTTGTGTTAGACAAAATATCAGAATTAACAACAGAAGACTATACTAATAGCTTCTGGGCCAAGAAATGTTCACCTATGCTGGCTGAGGCTTTCGCTGTTACCAGTAATCTATCGAGTTATATTCACCCGGCAGATAATTATCCGTTATATAATTGTACGTATGAAGTATTTTTAAATGAAACAATCATCTTAGTGCCTGACTATAATAGGACCGTCCTATCAACCGTACTGGCAGAACTTAATTACCGGACTCTCATTTATACCAATGGCTCTAAAAGTAAGGCGAGCACTGGTTGTGCTTTCTACATTCCACACCTAAATTATTGTAACAGTCATATAATAACGCTTTGCTATGTAACATTAGGAAATTGCTTGTAACTTGCAATGCCAAAAGAACACATATAAACTTTGTCTGGGTTAAAGGGCTGCTGGCGTCAGGGGCAATGAAAAAGTAGACAAGGCTGCTTGAATACTATAACGAATGTTCCCCCCGTTTACTCTGATTTATTCATAGAAATTAACCCTTAACTGGTGACGTGCCATTCGGGTAACGTTAGAGGTCATGCTGGGGGGGTATCTCAGACCCACATTATTTTTTTATATACTTGTATATATTTTAGATATTGTTAATTAATAAAACAAAATGATAAATGCTACCTAACGGTTGGTCCAAGCAAAACAGTTGTCTAGTGGCGTGCAAATTTAGGCCCTAGCACAATAAAGCGGAGAGTAGGGGCGGGTTAAGAGCGCCAGTGACTTAAGACGGATTAAGCCACAACCCCCCGAGATGTTAGTCGGAAGTTGTTTTGCTTGACCACCACACAAAAGGAGAATCTAACAGAGATGACGAAATTTAAGTAACAGTACACACAGAGCCAAATGAACAAGATATCAAATGGATCACAATATATTGATTAAAAAGAATAAAACACGCATGTGCTCCACTACTGGAGTGCGAGAAAGGATATTAAAAAAACTGTCGCAAAATAAAATTAGTTGGCGTTTGCCATGGTATACGCTTTACATATATGTTTTACGCCTAAACTACACTTATCTGGGCGTAGGTCTTCTCTAAGTTATGGCTAGGCGCAGCCGAGATGTATCCCAGGTCAAAAAGAACGAAAAAAAAAGGCAGTCAGTAGTGGGCACGACACTGGGCAGGGGCTGCTTGCCTCGGTCCCAAAAATTATGATGGTAACAGAAAAAAAACCTGTTCACGTCAGGGTTTTTTCAAGGGGATGGCTTCCAATTTGCAAAACTGCAACGATGCAACTGACTGGGGGAGAAAAGACGAGGATTTTCTTCTGTTTCGCTGAGGTCAAAATCCCATAAAAAATGGAAGACGTAGAACCCAAAATAACTAAACTTAAGTTACGCAACAAAAGGAAAAGGGTGCTAGTCCATGAGTGGGTGCTTGGGGCCTTATATCCCAGAGTCTGGAAAACGACAGAGACCCCTGGACCACGACCTCAACGGAAGCTGAAAAGCGAATCACCGAATACGCAACGTTCTAGAGGAAGCACCCTAATTTTCCAAGAGATGTCCCTCATATAGACCAATTTTATTCAAATAGGGAGTTTTCGTCGATCATAACTAGACTAAAGCTAAATCATGGCTGTTTCCCTGATCAACTCCATAGAATAGGTGTAACAAATTCTCCACTGTACCGGATCTAAATTGCATGTAAATTCACAGCGCGAAAGAAGAAGATGCTAGCCATGTACTTGCTATGGAGACGACGAATAGGAAATAGGCGGTTTTGGATTCACTCATTGCTTCAAAATCGACATACTTCTGGGTCCTTCAAAGTTTTATTCAATTCATTTCGGAACAGTGAGGAAAGGCACAACACAACACTTAAAAAAAACAATACCGCAGTACACGTACGTCTTTCCTCTCCAGTGGCAGATCCAGGACTAGAGGTGGAGGCGTGCGGCGCCGCCAGACCGTGTGAAAGCCCCAATAACAACAATAGCCCTTCGCAGAGTAGTCCGGCTTAGAGGCCGCATGTCCGGCGTAGGGGAGAGCGCGCGCCGCATATTGTGTGGAAAGACTCATCAACTCCCATAGCCCAACGCCGCATCAGGCCGTCAAGTGCGAACCGGATCGTGTGATAGGGGCGTAAGACGATAAGCAAATGGAGAGCAAAATTATTCAATTAATGTTTTGTGCGCAACCAATATGAAAAATGCACATGATTCTTATTTTACTTAAACCGTTAATTTCGTTTAAAGGACAGCTTTGTAGTGAGCGCTGAACGAGAATTCTACACCGCGATTGAGCAAGAACTGGCAAAGTTGAAACCTGTAGAAGAAGCGCCACCAGATGAAGTACACGAAGAGCATGATCAATTCACGGAAATGAAACCGCAACCGGTACCGGTTCAAGCGGAACTGCCCAACCCTTCACCGCAAAAGGAGAAAGCGAAGGACAAAGGCAAGGAAAAGACTTGATTAGCACAAAATACAGGCTAAGCATGTTTTTTTTTTGAGTTTACAATATATTACTAATGCAAGTTTTACTTTTTTGCTTCATTTATTTTTTAATTCACACTGTCTGCAGCCATTGCACCTTCCTGTATAACTTCATACATTTATCTGACATGATATAAATGTATTCGCCCAGTACAGGGGCAGCTTGGACGTTGTGCAAAGGTGGAAATAGATTCTGGTTACGTAGAGTGAGGTCACGTCCGTATTGGTGGCGTGTTGTGGAACAATTTCAGGAAAAATTCCACTATTCAATTAACCGATTATTTTTGCGCATCCCTAGTTTATTTTTTCAATTCAAATAATAATGTAACTTAGAATGTGTACTCCGTGAAAAAAAAATTGCAAATTTTAGTTTTTCTTTTGCAGGTTTTAGGTTTGCTAGTAAATATAGTGTACACTGCCCGAACAACGAAAAGTATTCAACTTTGTGTATATGGATATCAAAAATCCTTAAAGGTTTTGTACGAATATCAATGTAAGCTGCCATAATGGTACTGATAAACGGGAAGTAAATGAATGAATGATTGGAAACAAGCAATATCTATGGAATTTTCTGTAGAAAGTCTTTGTCATCAATTAGGCGTTTAATGGCCATCTGCAAGAGGTTTATGGGAAGAAACCCAGGGTGTGTGATGTTAAATGAATAAACAATCAATAATAGTATAAATAACATGAATCTTATTCCAAAATCCAACATTTTTTAAAATTCTAACTGAATTATACTTAAGTTCTTAATATTGGCGAAGTTTCAATGACAATCTGCCATCTCGTACTTTGACAATATTTTGTTTACAACATTTCACAGCTATTGGTTGCTAAAATTTGTCGAATGGATCTTAAAGCTCATTTGCTATAGTACATTTGACGGATTGTTACCCTATAGGTGGATAATAATGGCTTGTTGATTTGAGAGTCTTGGTGCAATCCACCCTTTATGTAGTAGTTTTTAGAAATTTGCTAAAATGCGAGGTGTGAGCCATTCAGATGCTTATTACAACACAATGCTTACCACGGATCGTTTTCCACAATTCAACCTCATGTCATCGGCTTAAGTGGAAACGCTGCACAGCAGAAAACATTAGTGAATGAAACCACTTTAGCTTGAGGTACACCATTTCCTCCATTATATTCAAAGAACTGAATGTGGGGCAAACGCAGGCAATTTAGAACTTGGAATAATCGAAATAAAATATCAGTCTCTTACTAAATACGTTTACTTCAATTCACTTTTCCAGAAGATCACATTTCAAAACGGAATATTGAATCATTAAATAAAAAATGAAATTCCATAGTCTAACTTTTACCATTCGGAGCACTACAGAAAGCATTAAAAATCCACTTTCTCTCGATATTAGCTCCAATACCCACAAGCTCCTGCTTGAATACGGATGGAAACCGAATCATGAGAGATTCAATATCGGAAGGTCGTATATTCGGCTCTATTTTGCTTACATAGGACCAAATGTAGTCCAAACCTGCCCCAAAAGGATGAACGTTCAGAAAAGTTGATATTATGCCCACCAACTTGGCGTCGCATTCGTTCAGTCTCTGCGAGGTTGTGCTCGTTGCAGCCTCTGAAAGACACTCTGACACGCTGACAGAGTCACACTGCTCGTTTTCGCTGTCATCCAAGTTGATAATCTCTTTGTCGGTCAATATTTTTCGATCATGCTTCCTTGGAGGTTTCTCCCCTGACAATTTGCTTTGCAAATCCTTCACCCTAGCTTCTTCCTCGCATTGTCTTTTTTTCGCTTCGAGTAGCTGCTGTTGCATGCCCTGTAGCGTTTGTTGTAGTACTTTGAATTGCTTGTCTTTGTCTTCCATGTCCTTTTTGTAGTCTAGTTTCAGCACTTCCACCTAGAATGTGAATGTTGGTTAGCATAAGAGCATAAGAGCAGAAAATGGGGAAACTCAATGGAGAACAAAGTTATACATTTAGTTATATACAATTTAGGATCGCATTGATAAACGTTACTTGAGAATGGAGTGCCGTTTAAGGAATAATCTTTGAGGAACGTCCAAGAAAGGGCTTAACATTTGCATTTGACAGATGTAACAGTTGTCATCACACAGTCATCGATGTCGGAAAGATTTTTCTTTACTGGCCGTATCTATTTAGCATTTTGACGGTTGCACAGTGCTGCAGGGTGTCTCCGGATTCGACTAAATTTAGTAATAATATACTAAGTGACATATAAATCCGAACACCCAGTTTAAATGGTTTTATTTTAATAAAATTTTGTATAAGTACTTAATGAAGCATAATAAGTAAATGATAAAAATTTCAAAATGATTGCACTGCTTTAAAGCCCTTTGACCTTTAGTAATGTGTGGATGCACCCTGATGTGCTACGCATTCTCCAACGCGCCTAGTCATGCTTCTGATCAGGTGGTCAATGTCCTCCTGTGGTATCTCATTCCAGGCAACCACCAACTCCTCTCGAAGTGCTTCTAGAGTCTGAGGAGGACGTTGCAAATTGAGCAATCTCCTACCCATCATATCCCACACGTGCTCAATTGGGGATAAGTCGGGAGATCTTGGTGGCCATGGCAACAATGTGACATGATTATGTTGAAAGAAGTCTATTGTGACTCTTGCAACATGTGGTCGGGCATTATCTTATTGGACAGTTGGATCTGCCAGGGTGTCAAGATAGGGTAAAAGATGGGGTTCTAGAACTTCATGGATATAACGCTGCGCGTTCATGTTACCTCTGATGAAGATTAAAGGTGACCTGGAACCATAAGCTATAGCACCCTAAACCATAACTCCAACAGTGTGATGAACATGTCTTTCAACAAAAAACTGTGGATTCCTCCCTTCACCACGTCGCCTTCTAACCCTGGCACGACCATCGTGCATGCCTAAACAAAATCGATACTCGTCACTAAAGACAATACTGTTCCATTCCTGATCCCAGAGTGACCGTTGTCTGCACCACTCAAGGCGATTACGTCGGTGTTCTCGAGTTAAAGGGAGGACCCAGTGTGGCCGGTATGAAAACAAGCCAAAACTTCTCATTCGTCGGTAAACACTTCGCATGCCAATAGGTCTTCCGTGTTCTGCAAACCATTCATTTGCAATGGACCTGGTAGTGGAGAAACGGTCCCTTAAGGCCAATAATCTTAGGCGGCGATCTTCACGGTCTGTTGTACTACGGCGGCGTCCAGTGCCCCTTGCTCTTTGCGTACGGCCTTCTCGAAGCCATGCCTGACAACACCTAACCACAGTGTCTACACTTCTTTGCACTCTAACTGCATTTGCCCGAAAAGAAAGTCCAGCTTCCCGAAGTCCCACTATACGGCCCCTATCAAACTCACTAAGTTGACGAAATCGTACAGGTCTCCGTAATCTAGGCATTGTAACCGATCGTAAAGGATGTCAGGAACCAAAATCCGCCAACGTTGATTCATGAAATATTCATTTTTAGAGCGTTAGTGAATTAAAAAGAAAGCAGTATAAAAACCTGAATGTCCAACTGATAAGGCTGAAAATTTTTTCACTTGTTACTTACAGTAAGATAAATACATTTACCAACTTTTATTAAAATAAAACCATTTAAACTGGGTGTTCGGATTTATATGTCACTTAGTATATGTAGTTTTTAAGTAAATGAACAAGAAGGGCTCAGAAGTATATGTCATACCGACTTAAAGATACAGCGTGACAAGAGAATTTCACCGTCATAACCGAATCCAATGAAGCCTACAAGGTTTGATGAAAATTTTAGGCTCATTTGGAAAAACATGGTATGACAAACTGATTTCCGCCAGAAGTTTCTGTCGTACCGACTGAAAGCTATAGCAGGCAATGCAAATAGATAAAAATAATACATCCTGTTTGTATGCTTCATGCTTGCATTTAAAAGCTCATTTGAGTCTGTCAGTTTGACACCAGGCTACTAGATGTTTGAAAGTATATGTAAGATGAATATGAAACGTCATGACCGTTGATATACGTATAGGTTATGGTAAAATCCTACCGTCACGTTGTATCTTCAAGTCGATATGACAGGTACTTTTGGCATACCAAGCCCTTTTTGTTCATTTACTTAAAAACTACATATTATTACTAAGTTTAGTCGAATCCACGATAAGGTTTAATTTCGCCGGCTCCCAGCCCCAACGGAAAATGAGTGGAGTGACATTCGTATTGACATTTGAATTGGTCTGATCGAGTCAACGCGCGGGTGATAAAATAATGTTCATAATTTCGACGTAAACACATTTATTCTTAAGATGATCTTTTGACAGCGTTTCTATTCAACAAGTTTTCTAATATTTGGTCAATGGCTTGAGCAGTGGAAATTCTGAGTATCGCCTATAAGGACACGTCAGACAAAGACCTGTTTTTAGTTTTGTTCAAATTCATTAAAGAAAACATCTGCTCGCAGAAGTAAGTTCTACCGAACATGGAGCAAATTTTCAAGGCCAGCGCAAGAATTTTGGGAAAATCTTGCTGTTTAACACCTTGATAAAACAAAATTAAATTACTATTGTAGTGGTAGTTCTATCCTTAAAGATCGTATCGCATTGAAGCTTAATCAGCTCCATTTGGAACTACGGCGGTTCTGCTTCGAAAAACACTGAAGATGGTGACGTAAAAATCTTATTTGCATAAACATCTCAACGTCGTCAATGATTTCTAAAAAAAAATCTTTAGCACTTTTGCGCAGCTTAACCAGCGCGTACCACAATAAAAGGGTATCTCACCGTAACTTGCTTCCAGGTCTTTGAAAAATACTTCAAACTGCCGTGGTTGAGACCTTGCTTTCTGCAGAAATTGACACATGTTATTACTACATCCATAATCCATTTGAAATTACGGAAGGTTTTTGCACGTAGTTGTTCCTGATGCAATATGCAGTGTACCGATGATATCGGAGGTAGCCCAGCGTCGCGTACTTTTATTTTCATTCGCCCAGTAAAACCTTGTGCTTCCGAGAACATTGCTGGCGCTCAATCAGTAACAACACTACTCAAACTTTTGAGTAGTATACCTATGTCGTTCATTGTGTATTCTACATCATCAAAAATATCTTCTCCGGCCCTTGTATCTTTGAGCGGGGTAACGTCTAGTAGTTCGTCGGTAATAGTAAAGACTATTTCGACACCTCTAACGAAAACAGCTAATTATGCTGTGTCAGAAATGTCTTTACATTCATCCAAGTTCAAGTATCCGACGAGAAATTGTTTGCTCGGACATACTAATTGTCTCAAAGTTGCTTACAGGAGATGGACACAATATTTCTACACACTCCACTAAGCATTCTTTGACAAGTGCATCGTCAGTAAACGGTCTCCTACTTTATGCGACTTTCAAAGCAACAATATAACTTGCATTACGACACCATTAATAATAATCAACTACGACCAAATTAATAGTTACCTCTTTAGAACTTTGAAGGGCTTTCCTCATACCGTGTGACAAATTAAACATTTTGCTTTTTCATCAGTATTTACAAAAAATAGGCTTATTCCATGAAGGATTGACTGACATCGTTTAAAAAAAGATGCACGTTAACACGCTAAAAAACCTGTCTTGTCCTATTAAGAAATGGCCCGCGCCCGAGAGACAGTCGGCTAATATGTTTCTCTAAGGCTGTGCGGTCGAGGTGGAGGGGGAACGGCACCAGTGCCGCTGGGTTCAGCACCGGAGCGCACCAGCACCAAGTTGGAGAGGCCTGGACTAATGTAACATAGTGAGAAAATTGTATGCTTTTACGACTTTATGTCGAATAACAACCCATAAAGCCGAGGTGAATAACTGTAGGCAACCGGCATTGCGACAATCTGCGACAGTTGCGCGTATTTATACAGGGTGGTCCAACGGAAAGGTCGCAACCCGATTTGACTCGCCTGGTATATTTTGAGAAAACCGGTCACGTTAATTTTGATTTCTAGGGGGACGTCTTTTCACCTATAGGCGTACAATACAGGGTGATCCAAAAATACGATATTGCGTTACACTTTAGATTCTTAAATGGTAACCACCGTTTTTTTTTTTTCAATTTTTAGATCATCCATGATGTTTTCAGTTACTTTTGTATAATAAAGTTTATACCTATCTTCAATCGTTGTGAAGCTACTTGAGTTTATAATAAAAGTCGACTAACCTAATACTGATAATAATCGAATGTACGGCCAAAAATAATAATCATGGACACCAGCAAGAACATTTAGCATCAGTCAGTGTCATCGTATGATATACAAACTTTGTATTTCATTTCAAGAAGGGTAGAAATAACAAAAACTGTATTACCAAAATAGGATCGTTGCAAGAGCTACTGCCCGGTTGTTTAATGCGTTACATCCAGACAGAAATATTAACGAAGTATGTTGCTAACTTGGTAAGAAAATTTGAAGAAACTGCATCTGCATCTAATATACGCCGTAATTGCCATCGAGCAAATCGGCCAGTTAGAAATGAAGGCTGAAGAGGTTCGTCAACCGCTAGACCATGTGTGAGTGCGTGTCAGAGTGGAAAATGCGAGGGAAGCCAGGTAGTAAGACCTTGAGGATGAGATATGCGGGAAGACGGGCATGAGCTGCGGCAGAAGCAGCACGTATATCGTCGCTCAGCCCTAGGGACGTACGCACTTTGTTTTCAACGTTATTTTTATTTTATCGAATTTCACGCTATCAGTTGTAAATCTGCCAGGAAGCCTCTACCTTAGCAAATAAAGTAATAACGCAGTAAACACCGTCGTCCAACCCATTACCCTGAGAGAGCTAGCTCGGGAACTATTTCAAGCCGCAGAAATAGCAGTTTTGCGTCACGTGGCACTTGACAACACCCAAAGCACTCGAGGATTGACTATTTCTTCAGGATTTTCACGCTCACCAGTACAAAGAATTTTGAATGACAATAAATTTCAGCCATAGAAGATAAAACTTTATCCATGAGCTTATTGAAGACGATTTTGATAGAAGGTTGGAGTTTTGCGAATTAATGTCCCAAAGTTTAATCAACAATGCAAATCTGTTATTTAATATTTGTTTCTATTTACATGGTGCTGTAAATAGACATAGCTGTCGATATTGGAGTAACTCGAATCTACATTTGTTTCGCGAGGTACACTCGCAATATCCTGAACAAATTAATGTGTCGGCTGGCTTTATCGGAAATCTTATTGTAGGACCTTTCTTTATTCCTGGAAACTTGACAGGCAAGACGTACTTGGACATGTTAGAAACTACAATACGAATTACCGAAACAATACAAAATGAAAATTACATTCATTTCCAACAAGATGGTGCTCCGCCGCACTATGTGGCTCCAGTACGACGGTTTTTTATACCCATCTCCCGAATCAGTAGATCGGCAGAACAGTGGCCGTCAAGATCTCCGGACCTAAGTCTTATAGATTACTTTCTTTGGGGGCATTTGAAAACGTCTTCAGTATGAAGCCAAATTGAATGTAGACAAATAACTCAAGACATCCTTGATAATTTGAGTAATAGATTCGGACAAAATCTTTATTATTGCACGGAGGTAAATAGACACCACTTTCAGCACTTATTACCACACTGACCTACCTCTTTATAGCAAATTAAATTTTTACTTCATCTTTAATGTCCGTGTAAACAGTAAGTTGTTTTTTTTTTTAATACTCGGATACTAATTTTTAATTTTAAAGTAAAGTCTTGTTACTATGGGAACTATATGTGATTATTGTTTTTACAATATAATCCCTTATTATCACAATTTCTAGAACTATAAACTCGAATAGCTTCACAGCGACCGAAGAGAGGTATAAACTTTATTATACAAAAGTTACTAAAAGCTTCAAGGAGAATTTAAAAATTTAAAAGAGGGTTTCCATTTAAAAATCTAAAGGGTAACGCAATATCTTATTTTTGATCACCCTGTATTGTATGGCTATAGATGAAAAGACTTCCCCCTAGAAATCAAAATTGACTTGTCTAAGCGTTTTTTCCCAAAATGTACCAGGGAGTCACAAATAGTGGTGCGACCATTTCGTTGCGCCTCCTGTTGCAATCACTCTCGTAAGGGAACCAATTGGCATGGGCAGTAGAAATAGTTCAAAAAATGACCAAACACTAAAAATCGAGATCCGTTCCCCAGTCAAATCCCTTTCAGATAGTTGGGCTAATTTTGAACCTAAGGTCGAAGTTGTTTATTTTCGATTTAAAAAAACTAATTGATTGGCTGAATAACTTAGAGAAATCTTACCATGAACCATTTTTGTTCAAACTAAGCTAAATAATCAGAAAAAGGATATAAGAAAACCAAAAAGTCAGCTGATGAAAAATACCTCGTTTTTGTAAGCCTCTAACTGGCATCTCAAACTGTCATTTTCATCCTTCAAGTGATATGTCTCTTCGATGGATATATCATGCCTTTGTCTTTTCCTCATAAAATCTTCATCGTCCGACACATCCATCTCGTCATCATCTCTTTGGGATCCTGGATCCTCCAGCTGCACATTTTTAATTTCCTAGAACACATACATGTATATTAATTTTGGCTCCGCACCTATTATTTCGATTACACTTTTTCTCATTTTGACGTCCTATTCGATAGACTGAAAAGAAGCTTTATGAAGAAGATATTTAGTCATTTTTACGAATCTGTCACAAACCAAGAAAAAAATTGCAGTCATCTCAAATCAAAGTTAAAAAATCCATTTCACACTGTCACGTTTAACACAAGCATTGCTCTAGGTGCTCCATAAGTAACATTTTTTATTGGCAAAGAAAACCGTGTGGGAAAAGACGCATGAGTTTTAAGATGGGAACAGATTACTGTCACGCCACGTGACATGAAAATGTCATAAGCACATGATACTAGTAGGATTCTAAATAATACACATAATTGGCAGGTGGCGTGAATTTACGTAGTTATATGATTTGCAAGGTGAAATTTCCTGGTACACTAACGGGTCACAAACCGCCGTTTATAGAAATACCATACGAAAACAGGTGTAACCCAGAATATGATAAATAAAATGATCACCGTATCTGACACTGAGACGTCATTGAAAGCGTTAATAATTCTAGACTGCACACTATTGTTTCCCAGCATATGAGAGCAAACAAATTTTTGATCGAATTGTGATACACATACCCTCTATTTTTTCCATTTGACTCCAACAACTCAAAAAATAATATTGCGATCGGATAACGATAATCCGGACTTTCAGTCAAACTGAATTTGAAAGTTAATAGGGAAACCATCTATGGATTTCCAAACCTAATTTTTATTCGACAAATAAAACACTACCTTATTTGTGCCTTATATTTTTGATAGTTATCATTAAAAGAACATTATTTACTATTTTTTTCCTTTTACAGTTTTATCGTTGACTGATCTCAGGGTTTGCACCTTATTCTTAGCGTATTGAATAGAATCAGTATGTGGCCATGAAGCTGGACACTAGTCGAGAAAACTGTTACCAATTTTGAGTCGACAGAACAAGGACTTGCTTGTAGTTGAAACAAAGTCATCGATATTTTTCTCTGAAATGAGAAAACGAAGAATAACTACCATCTAAACATACGGCCGTCCGATCACAAACAGTCAACCTTGGGCAGGTTTTTTGTGTTTTTTGGCAACTCATCAGCATCATCTACGCTTGGCCTCAGGTCAGGACAACAAAAGAAAGCATCGCAACTAACCTCTATCTGATGTATAAAATAGAAAGAAAGTATAACGTGCCATCTATTGTTATAAACGCAGTTTATGCTGGCTTATTTTAACAGTTGGCCTATTATATCGTCGCAGTAAAATAAGACAGAAGACAAAGGAAAATTATTCGTCAGACTTAACCAAAAAGTGGGTCAGAAAGTCCTTTTTTCCTCATGTACGTCGCCGTCAAACAGAGATAAGACAGAGACCTCATCTCTCAATTACCATAAATGTTTGCAGAACTTTTGTAAAACTGCTTTTTTAATGGTTTTGTCAATTCTTTCGTAAGATTTCATTGCCTGTAAAAATCCTGGTAAGGTGCTTTTACCGCTACAGTGCATTGCAACCACTGTGTCACGTATTTTGTCACGATGAACAGGCAGATATCTAACAGAGCTGCCTTAGCCTTATTAGAAAGTTTTAGCTGGGAACTTAGTAACGCTATTTTTAATGAATAGATTGTTCTGGTCATCCATCGAGCTTGATATATGGCGCCAGGCGGTCGAATCTTAAATTTCTTCTCTGTATCTCCGCCAAGGGATATTATTGAAAGTTCTATTAATTCTCGATGGTCGTCTCTAGCAACTTCTTTGGTCAATGTATGTCGATAAAATTCTAGCATCTTGTCAGTCTTTGAAATATTTAGGTATGATAGCTTTTCAGTATAAATCTGTATTTTCTCAGGATCCACACTTTTCCAGCTCTCGCGAAACTTTTTGAACATTGGAATGTCAGGGCTTGTAATCACAAAAATAAGCATTTGTTTATTAAGTTCCTGTTCGAGAAGCACGCAGTCATAGTCAATTCGACCCGTATTTGAAGCAGTAGATCACAGCAGATAATTGAACTTCATCTTCAAGATACCATTCAATAATAGCATCCCAAACTGCCTGAAGAGTCATCCAATTTGGGCATATCGATCAGTTGCTTTTATTTTCATACGTTATAACAATCGTATAGACGTTCTTCTTTAGACTTGCGTGCATTTAAAGGTGGCAACAATTTGCCATCCCAGTAGACAGTTATAGTATTCGGTATCTCGCGTTGGAAATCAATCTTTATAGCTTCTTGGCGCTCCTTTCGCTTTTCGGTACGAATTCTTTGAATAGATGACTTACTTAACGGAAACTCGTCAGTGTTATGTCCAAGTGCCTCAATGGTTGCTTCAATAACAAAAACAGCATTTTTCATACTTAGCTAACACCTATCTAATGCTGCCACTAATTTGACAGTTATGAAACTTTTTCTCATTTGAATTTGATTAGTATCAGGCTGTATGCTCTGGGTTGGGATGGGCAAAGTTTCTTGTAAATCTATCCCGGAATCTTAAGATGATTTTTTTTACACTGGTTCGTAAGATGATCTCAAAATAATTGAGGAACATATTTAGCTCGCCACATTTGTTCTTAGGTGTTCCTAAGACGCGCCTTTTCTTCTTTTATGACTAATTTCTTGTCCACGCCAGCAAAATGGCCAGGTCGACCTGCCGCTGCAAGAACATTCTATCTTAATTCATTTTCATCAATTGAACTGCATCGGCATGCGCAATATCAAACAGATATTTGCAGCAGCGGCGGCGTAGTCGAAGACGCTACGGTCTCCTAACGAGTCGCCGTGCGCTGCGCGGGTTCGAATCCCGTCCCAAGAGCTACCACCCGGCGGACCTCGTGGGCGGGGCCAAAACGTGCGCGTGCACACGTGTTTCCTCGCTAGAGTGACGTCCTTCCCCTGTATTCCCTATAGCCACACGGTACCCCATGGGTGTTCAAGGCCTTAGGCCTTCGAGGTACTTGCAGCATAAAAAAGGATTGCACAGGTCAAACTTTTGCCGACGTTGCTCAAACACTTCTTGTGTTTGCTTAAATTTTTTGCAAATCTCCTCCAACTTGGTATAAGGTAACTATTTTCTTAACACAGGTAAAAATTTAGTCTGAATACGCGTCATTTCCCAGTAATTAATGCACCCACGGATCATAAGGCTGGCGATCTCATTGACACTTAACTTCACTTCCAGGATATTATAGAAAAAACTACTAGTACTTGTCTATTAGAGGGAAGTTCCTTCGACGTATTGACAGAAAGAAAACAGTGCATTTACTACTATAACAAACCAGCACTGAAATACGTTAACTGGCACCTAGTATTTACTTTATATTGTTTCTTTCCTTTTTATATTTTAAATGTTTTTTTGTTAAATCTGCCTAAAATGATTTGACGTTTTTCGTTAAATTATATTTGTTATATAATTTCTTTATATACATATATTTTTTACGCTTGTCATTATTATTTATTAATATTAACTTATATAATTTGATTAAGAACTCCTCTGTTGTAATTTTGTTTGTTAGGCTAGTACTTTGATCAGCTTGTCGCTTCTGCAGGAAATTCATGTTGTTTCTTCATTTTTAATTCTTTTCTCTCTTTGTATTTTTTTGCTCTGCAAATAAACGCTACAATTTTATTATATGCCTGTTTTGACATGTTCCGACGCAGTTCGGCGCGGATTGCCCGAGTTATAGGTACACAAAACTGTATTTACAATTATTATTTTGACATTGTTCAAGCAAAATTAGAGGGTATGCGTTTGAAAAAGAAATTATTTTATTTGGGACACCCTACTGAAAACACCTGGACATTCAGGCAACGAAGGCAATGTAAGTGCACCTGGAGACTTGAATTGAAAGCAATTTGGTTGCGGAACAGAATAAACCTTTCATGTTCTATGTAAGCTTGAAGAGCAAAATTATGACCGATGGAGGTTAGAGAAGTACTGACAGGGAAGTTGTATCAACTGATACACCAAACTACTGGATTGGGTGCTGAGAAGCAAGATACAGTAAGCCGACACTCCCTATCGACTTCTGTTAGCGCCGCATAAATAGGCTCTTAGAGGTGGCGGTGCTAGAGGAAACGACTACAGGAAAGACAAATAAACGATAGTTTAAGCGGCAACACGTGAACCAACGTGACGTGACAATAATTTGTTTTCGCTTTTAGTAGTTCCATATGGTTTTCGTTTCTGTAATAAATATTTAGTAGTTTGTACTATTTATTTCTTGGTACCCCTAGAAATCATAGTCTCCACACTTCTGTTGTCAGGTTCGCCGATTATCTTCCTTTATCTAAATGCAAATTAATATTGCGAGCAATAAAGGTTTACCAGTCCACTGGATAAGACGTCATTGACATAGCTCCGTTAGTATTAGTGATTTTTTTAAATATATAGTATGTCCATAAACCATATACAATTCTTCCACAATACTAACGTCCACTTCTCTTGCAGTTAACAAATCAGTTGGTACGTAAGCATACTTCCACATTGTCCGTCTCTTTGGTGGCAGACCAGACAGAGCTAACTTACCTTATCTTACCTTTATTTTCGTATGTATAATGTCAATCAAAATCCGAAAACAATAGAATTATATAAAACAGTTAAATGTCGTTTTAATGTATGGAAGGAGCTTAAAAATAATAATTCTAACGCTAAGCATGCAAAGAATCTTTGAACTATGAAAATGTGTATGCCACAAATATGCTACAAAATAATATCCTCACAACGTTTTCTCTCATATTATATGGCCTACATTGTATACTTGTACACTTAACATGGCATAGATCATAAAAACGAAATGATACACATCATGTATAAAATCGCACATTGATAATTAAAAAAAGGTCCCGGGCACAACAAAACTGCAAAAATATTTTGAAAGAAAATGTTTCCTTTTCATTCGCTAGATCCAATTACTTACCACTTACTCTAGAATACTGATTAGGAGTATCACTTACCTTTAAGAAGACACGGATCATTACCAAAAAGCATCCTGCTAAATAAAATACTTCTCGCCTTGTCATGTTGTATTCGCTCAAAATTTACTAACCCTAAACCAACAACTCCATACTCATCCTAGCAACATGTGAAGATCACTTTCCAGAATACTCAAGAATTCTACAAAATTTGCGAAACATATCGAACGATCTAGGGATAAACAAAACTGACAACTATCCGACAAACCACCTAACTTACTACTTGACAACTAAATGACAAAATACCCAACCTACAATTTGACTATACATGACAGAACCCAAATTGTTACCTACCCACTATCTCGGGTGTTACGTTATACCTGTTTTCGTTTTCGAACCAATTTATTCTAATAAAATACAGGGT